GGAGGTTTCTTCCGTTAAAGGGAGTTTTTCCTCCCCACTGTCACCAAGTGCTTGCTCAAGGGGGATTTGTTGGGTTTTCCCTATGTAATAATATTGATAACAGTAAGGTCTAGACCTTAGTTTGTAAAGTGTCCTGAGATGACTTTGGTTGTGATTTGGTGCTATACAAATAAAATTTGATTTGATTATGTGAAATGGACTTTTATTTGTTTTTACTGCATACGTTGGGAATGAGTGTATGGTGGAATGTTTTGGTGTGTGTAGTGTGGTGTGACTATGAACATGTATTTATCGATTTCTTATTTATTTATATTTGAGTCTGGTTCTTGAGTGCACCTGAAGTTTGTTGTTTTGTAAAGTGACAATAAAGAATCTCATCGTTTTTTGGTCATAGACCAGTGACTCCAGTTCATATTTAGATTAAAATAACTGGAGTAAAATGTTTATCACTTGTGTTATTTTAGATTTGTGTTTATGTATGTATTTAACCTGACAGTAAATTTTAATGTTGCCAAATATGTCTCTACCATTCTTTAGTCATGATGTTCTATTTAAAATAACCAACACTTCTTATAAACAGTATTATTTTATAATTGGTCTAATATGGCATTTTCTGGCTTTGTACAAATTTATTGCATGAGAGATGAAGTGAAGAGATGTAAATGTTAATAGTTCATCATATAAAAGAAGTTACAGTAACAACACGTTTTACTCATCACATAATGTCTCACCTGCAGTAACAACATAAAATGATCAGTAGTTAGATTTTAGAATAGTCAGCAGCCCAGTTACACCTTGAACACCATTAACTACTTTGCAGTGATGTAGGATTATAAATGTTAAATTCAATCAATCAATAACGTCCACACTGTATTTTCTTACCACTTTGTTTTATTTTACATGGAGATTTGCACAAGGACTGAACATGTGTCTACAGTACTAGACATGATTCTTCCCTGAGATCATGTATTGGATTGAGGGTGACTGGTTCAGTGGGTAGAGCGGTTGGAGGTTCAAATGTCAAAGCCTGTAGTCCACGTGTCAAAGTGTCCTTGGACAAAACACTGGTCACAGTAGCTGTATGCAGCTACTAATTTAAAAACATTAAATCCCTGTAAAAGAAGAGCTGAACACCAAGCATGACATAGTGGTGCTGCTGCACAACATCACCCCCACACACTGCTTGGAGGACTGATCTGATGCAACAGTGAACATACTAAAGAAGTTCTTTATGAACAACATGTCCACACCTGCAAAGCTAGAATGTACTGCTCTGCCGAGCCAGAATGTAATCCATTTTCTTTTTCCTTTTAGGTTTGAAGAGCATGTAGAGGAAGACAGAAACCACAGTCAAGAAGCAGGACACAGCCACTGCAGCTACCACCAGCCATGTGAATGTGGGGTCTGGACAGAGAGAGACAAAGAAAAATGAATGATATACAGTAGAGGCTTGATCATTGCAAAAGATTAATCCAGTGAAATTGGAACCTGGAGTATGGGTATGATACTGGGTATGATAACATGCAAAGGTTGTTTACTGAGACCTGGTAACAGGGGGAACATGCAAAGGTTGTTTACTGAGACCTTGTAACAGGGGGACACTGCTAAAATAAAGTCAAATTGGGTAAAAAATACAAGCAGTCACTCAGGTTTTAAACAACGCTCCATATTTGCCAAGCTTATTTGGAAAAGATGGTGTTTACAGCTTGTTTAACTGTGTGACTGCTTGTCAGGTATCATCATTAATCCCTTGTTGTCACTCTCAGCACTTACATCAGGGACTTCAGATTTCAATTTGCTCAGTGACAAAACCGTTTCATTTGTGCACACACAAAAACACACCACTCACCCTCAAGTTGAAGCTGTGCAACGACTTCCTGTCTTCCTCCTTGGTTCTGAGCGACACACTTCAGCTCTGTCTTCGTGTCTTCCTCTCTTATCGCTACAACAAACAGCCTCAGCTCAGTCTGGCAGTGTTCGGACACCTTGGTCACCCTGGGAACAATAAGACCGACATGACCGTGTGTTTTCATGACTTGGATGGGTGATGTGGGGAAAGGCTACAAGCCTATTGGATGTATGTCAAGATGGAAACTAGCCCAGACATTTATAGAATAATACTCCCCTATTTGCAGCCTTAAATACTTGTGGACAATCAGAGTCCAAAAAGTGTTTCGCCAGTGGCAGCAAGTGCACAAGTAGTATCACTTCTAGCACAGTATTTGTGGTTAGTATTTATTGTAGTATATTTAAATGGAAAATGGGGAAATAAACCCTGCTTCAGAAATGCCAGCATGCATCTTAGAACAACATAAACAACACTGAAGGACACACATGTCCAACAGTATAATGCACAGCTTAGACTAGACTGTGATGAAAAATTCTAAAAATAATGTGGTGCAATGCAACAACACCTCAGAAACCACACCGGAAAAATGTTTTTGTAACGTTTTCAAATTTGATTATAGTTTTTAGTTTACTTTAAGGTCAGGGAGTTGACTTTGTTTCCCACTTGGGAGCTTCAAAGTGCATTATCACTGATTTAAAAAGTAGCTTGTGCTATTTGTTTGCTGCAGCATAGTGTAAAGTTGTTCTCCTTCACTTTCCCTGTGTCCTAACCAGTACAGTCACTTTTTATATTTTGGCATCAGGCCTAAATACTGTTTGGAAATATCTATCAAAAACAAGTGAACAATTACCTCTGTTCTCCTTGCATAGCCCGTCCACCAAGGTATGAGGATTCCACTGATTGGCCATTAATCAGCCATGTGACCACGGTCGAATCTGCCATTTGACAGTCAGTGAGCACCCTGCAAACCAGCTCCAGTTTTGAACCTAAAAGAAGTCAAAGGTCAGTCAACCTTTCTTGAAATATCTATATCTGCCTAACATTTGCTAGATACTGTACATTAGGACTATAATTTGCATCACTCACCATGTGGACTTTCAAAAATGGTTCCATTCAGTGGTGAAATAATTAGAGGTGGCTGAATTATTGCAGCTACAATGTAAAGACAAATAGTATTTATCATTAGATATACACTTTAGAAACTGTCCCCACAGGGAAATGTATTGTACATAGTAAAAAAAAATCAACTTAAAAACAATAAAGCTCAACAAAACTTACCATGAACAGTTGTGTCGCTGCTGATTAGTCCTGGGTCAGAGGTCATAGAAAGGTCAGGCACAGTGGGACTGATTGTAGGGTCTAGACCTGGCAGACAAAGTCACATACAAATTTAGTCAGATGTAAACACATCCACTCGCAGCTCTTCAGATGACAAGTCTGACTCATTTCACATAATAATAATAATAATAAGAAGAAGAATTTAATGCCAGGTTACTGTTTTTGTGGAGCTTTGAGAGTTTGTGTCTTGTTTGTGTCTTAAATGAAAGAGAGTTGTCTGGTCCCTGTGGCTAAACCGAGTGAATGTGTTGTACCTATCATGCCAGTAGGGGGCAGGCATGACTTATGGTATCAATGTGAAGAAGTAAACAGACATCTTCAGTTTAATAATGTTGATGATGTTACTCATGATCATTACAGTAATATTTGGAGGTTATGTTTTCTTTAAAGGAACTGTAGTTGTAGTGAATCAATTTGTGCATTTCATGACTATTGACTGATATAAGACTGCAGAGGTATTTCCACTAACCTGCCAGATACATAGACCTCATGGCCTGCTACCAACAGTGCACTTTATCAAGTATTGCTAGTTGTACATTTATACCTGTCATTAATATTCATAGTTAGGTTTCGGAATGAAGGAAGTGTTTTAGCTAGCATCTTGGATTTGACCCACACGCCTCAGCGGTGCTGTTCATAAAACAACCACCTACCTTGCACATGGAGCAGGATGACTCTGCTGACTTTATACTGCTGCTCGTTGATGAGCACTTTGACCTCACAGGTGTAGAGGCCTGCATGGCGTTGTCTCACTGCAGGGATCATTAGTTTATCTGTGTCCTGGCGAAAGGAGCCTGCTCTGCCCAGCTGAAGGGCAGTGGCACTGGAGTCCTGTCAGAAACATACCATGTCACTCATAAGGAAGAGCACTGACACTGAAAGGGTTGAAGGCTCCCATGGCCTAGATGGTCAGATACATGGCACTATATAAAGTTTAGGCAGGTTTGCAGTGGAGATTATGTTTGCTACAAACTTAGGTGAAGGTGTGTGAACATTTATAGTCATTAGGTAATATTTGACTTTTGTGACCTCTACTGGCAGAGAGCTGAAATAACAAGAATACGTTGTATTAAACAGCAGATGTTGGCTGGTTTACCTGCACTGAGCAGCTGTAAAGCTGTAACACCCTGTAAAGTTCTCTGTAATGCATTTGTGATTCTAGGCTTCATGAATAACACTGGTCTCATTCACCAACGTCTTCGTAAGTTGCTCTTAAGAAAGGTCCTAAGAAAAGTCTATGTCTGATTCATGAACCTGTTCTGAAACCACAGAATAGTTCACACCTGTCTTCTCATATTGATTCTCTTACTCGGTCAGTGGTCACTGTACAGTATAAGGAGAAGGCTGCACAACTGTTGAATTAAAAAGATGGTTTGACCTAAAATCTGAGGCAACAAAACAAACACAGAAGAGAGAAGCTGACCAGTGGAGGAGGATAGGCCTGTACCAGTTATCTGAGCTGGACCGGGACGGCACTTTTGGGTGTGCCATCAACGGAGCAAACCTCCATGCCTGCACTCAGGTTCCCTCAGCTGCCCTGAATCTGACCTCAGATGCGGTGCTGGACAACCAAACCCTTCCACAGATAGCCTCAACACTGGCCAAAATATCTGAGAGCCACTTAAAGAAATGAACAGAAATTAGAAATAAAGGTGTGTAGTTAAACATGTGTGGTTTTTAAGTAATGCACTTCATAATGCTAAACTATAAATAACCACACTGCAACAGTTACATTCATTTTTATAACCTTAAAAGCAAACAATTAATTGCTTGCTATGATTTTTAGTGTAGTGTTTATTCATTTATAAGACCAGAATGCTTTGTATAATAACAGAAAAAATATTAAAGGAATACTAATAATGACAAAACTGTTATTGTATCTTAAGTCTTATAATGTTATATAACTGTATAACTGAAGCAAACTAAATGACCAGTTATTTCACACACACACATCGGCGCTCAAATGTGCATAAGTGTGTGTAGATTCTGTTCTTACCCAAGAACAAAGCCAAGAAAAATGTTGGTGAATGAAAATTTGTTCTTAAGTTGGTGAACGAGACCTACTGACTTAACTGGGCGAAGTGTCAGTGCTCACAAGAATGTCTGTCAATTAAAAAGTATTAAGTGTTATTATTTTCTTTAAACAGGTGTAAAAATGTAAGAAAATGTAAGTTTTAAAATAACTACCCATGCCAGAAAAAACAATACATTACCACACTAAATTAAGAAAACAACATTTGGTTTGGGAGAATTCTGGAGACACTGATTTGTATTGGAAAGTGGTCAAATCACTAAAAGACAGAAATGACCTTTGGTGACCAGGTTCTGGTTGAAATCACAAATTTTACCATGTTTGAGAGACTAAAAGGCAGAAAATAAGTTTTTACCAGAGTAAAGTTTCAGCAGCCCACCAGTATACAACATATTTCTCCTCTCACCTTGTACCATTCTGTCAGTCCGTCTGTCCTGTTGAAGTAACCTAGAGATGGACATGGGATTGTCAGGTCCTCCCCCACTGTGGCTGATATGGGATAGGACAGTTTCTCCATGTCCACATAATTGGACTCATACACACGGAGCGTGATACTCCCAGTGATACAGTAGGACTCATTTCTGGAGACAAAAGTGAGGACAGCTCTATTAAACTGTGGCTAGAAGTAAAGAAATCAGTTTCTACCTAGAAAGCTTGAATTAGCTTGAATGAGAAATCTTTAAATAAACATAAAATCTCTGCTATTTTCAGAGGTGTTGTTTAGAGACTTTGACCTCTCTACAGAGGGATGCATTAGGAAGTGGAAGTGCACGTGAGGGATGAATACGCAGCCTTGATGATTTACCTGTAAGTGCAGATATATTCCCCTGAGTCTGAAGCCTGAGATGGAAGGAACCACAGCTGTTTGTCACGTTGCTGGACACGCCCCTCACCCTGAAAGACCACGCCCCCTGTCCCAAACTGTTTGGTGATGAGGTAGTTTGCTGCTGGGGAGGCGATGTTGCGTACTTCAAGCACTCTCTTGAATATTGGAAAGGAGAGGACTACAGCGTCACCCTCCACCCTGAATACCTCCATCTCTGGAGATACCAGGTTGCAGCCATCTGCAGGAGAAACGACACCCAGAGTGTAATACTTAATACTTTAGGCAGATACTGGTTAATTCTTTAATTATCAGATATTGACCAGGCACTGTTGTCCTCTGTTTTCATTAATGGGACATGTCAATTGCGACTGAAACAGTGAGTTGGGGTGCCTGTGGCTCAGGGGTAGAACAGTCGTTTTGTTTCATGGTGCCTTCAGTCGTGGTGTCCTGGGGTAAGATATTGACCCCCACCTTGCCCCCAATGGCCAGAGCAGCACCTTGCAGGGACAGTGCTGCCATTGGTGTGTGTGTGTGTGTGCATGTGAGTTGGCGCCATAGATGGCTGCCTCGGTTCTGAACAGGAGACAAATTCCATACTTGGCCAAATTAAAGTGATTATCATTATTTTGCTTACACCTTGACCTCTTACCACAAGCACAAAAACAAGCTGTGTTTAAATCACCAGACATGAAAAACCCTGAAACCTTTTAAAATTACCATTTGGTGAAGGCACAAGACACAGTGCTGTTATATCGGAGGCTCGCGGTTGACTCCTTTCTGATACACTTTTAGGTTTTGGTCTCTCTTAAGAGCTGTGAGAGTCAACACATAACTATAATACAACTTTGAAATAACACTGTACTCAGAAAACTGGAGCTTGTGCTGAAAGATCTGACGTTTTGGTGGGAAAAATACATTGGCTGGGAACCTTTTACTGATAAGGGTTTGTATGTAATATAAGCATATATGCATCTAATATACATCATGCTCACCTTTCATGGGCAGTGGAGGTAATGGAGGTCTTCCATAAACATCTTTGATTAAGACCAAGGCAAATATTACTGCCAAGAGGACCATGATGGCGGTCTGCAGAGACAAAACTCTGAAATGAAAGATCTACTGACAAACTGTGTTCTGATGGATATCTGTCTGGGAGAGCAGCATATGTTCAATGTCAGCCAACAGGGAAAACAGTTAGGCAGGAATAACAAAGTGCCACTTTTCTCAACAAAGTATTAAAGTAACAATTGTTCAATGTGAAGACGAATGAAAGTAAAATACTAACAAAGCTGGAGTCAAGTCTGGTGCTGGGACTGTGCCACAGTTGGTTTCTGTGTTCTGATGGATATCTGCCTGGGAGAGCAGCATATGTTCAATGTCAGCCAACAGGGAAAACAGTTAGGCAGGAATAACAAAGTGCCACTTTTCTCAACAAAGTATTAAAGTAAAAATTGTTCAATGTGAAGACGAATGAAAGAAAAGTAAAATACAAACAAAGCTGGAGTCAAGTCTGGTGCTCAAAGCACCTCAAGCACAGTTCTACTGATGTTTAGCTTCAATTTAAACTCTTGTATGGATTATGACTTATGACATCACAGGTTGTCATCATTCAGTCATCCCATCACCCCGCCCCCACACCATATACAACCACTGGGATTTACCAACAGCAATGCATAAGATGAGTCACATTAAACGGTTAAAGGCCATTCAATTCAAAGGTCAGCATAATTAATAACTCAACTTTTACAACTAATTATGTATAAAAATAAATATATATGATCCTGTTTTTCTACAGTTTTAATCAACCATAAACAGTTTTAAAAAATATGACTAGTGTTACTCTCAGTATTAAAGTGTATTTTAGAAGTGATAGTAGGTTTCACCCATGTATTTATATTTTTAATGATGGGTCTACACTTTAATTTACAGAGATCAGGGCATTTAATGTGATAGAACATACAGTAATTAGTTCTGTTGTACTAAATAATATTCTACTCTGATGTGTTCTGTTTATATACATATAGTACTAAATAATATAGCTACTGTTCTGACATAATCTGTCACATCTTGTTTGAGCTGGGCCCCTGTCAGACAGGAAGGTAAACTCGGGTTTGTGCTGTAGGGTTTCCATGGAAACAAGTAGATTTTCACTTCTGCTTCTGTTTCCTCGTTTGTGATTTCAGGGATCATCTGATAGCAGACAGCACATATGTCAAACACGTGCAAGTGATCGGTCTTTTTACCCCAAGGAAATCTTTGTTGCATTGTTCCATCAAAGGACAGTCCCATTCATAAAACCTGTGGGAGTGTCACTGCCAGTGAACTTTCACACACATGAGTAACAGTGTTATGATATGAGATTAAAAGGAAACCTAGCACCCAAATAGTACCAAAGTGTATTAAAGCAAAAAGTCTCCTACCTGAGCCTTTCTTGGTGATCAAACACCTGACAGCAAGTCATTTTATTATTTCCATTGCATAATACACATTTTACTGTAAGCAGGAGTTTAACTCAGTTTTTGTCTAAGCCAGAATTAATAAGCCTGTTTCAGTGGTCCTCACTGACTGCTTTGGCATTTACTAAATATTAAAATATCAGTAAAATATAGTATAGTAAATATTAAATTTAGTTTGTGAAACAGAAAAAATCTACAAAAACAATATAAATATATACATGTATGTATTTAAGAATTATGGATTGATTGCATGGAATTACTGACTTAAATTTGGAAGGCATAGATGATCTTAAATATTTCCTGTAATGTAAAATCACTCTGTAAAAGAAAACCTCAAACTGCTAATGAACTGAGATTAGACTGAGTCTGTACTCAAACTAGAAAATATAAGAAACAGTGCAAAAGATATTCAAATGTAGAAATGCTATGATGTAAAAAATGATTCCTAAAAAGTGCATATATACAGTGAATATAAAAGTTTAGGTAAAACAATATACCACATGTATAAATTATATCCTGTATAACACATAGAAGCCCTACTAATTAACAATTCAACAGAAACACATGAGCAAATATATTGTCACAGCATTTCAAAAACAATATCGAATGGTCCAATGTAATTATATTATAGTACTATATACAGTACATATGCAGTGCAGTATAATATACTCACGGTGTACAGGTGGACAGTGTGACAGTGAGGACAGGCAGATGACTGTGGCAGCATGTGGTCAGCGTCCTGTCGGCTCAGGGGAAACCTTTTCAAGCTTCCAATTGCTGTGAGATGGAAATTTCTCAGGTTTCTCAATGTAACACAGTGTACTGTACAGCTCACCACTCAAGTCTGCTGACACACACACATGCGCACATACACACATACATTGTGGGAAAAAAGCTACAGCCATTTCCAACCAGAGAGATTTACTGCAGGTTTATTCTTTACAAGTGTTTACAGCTGCTGTTGTATCATCGTTTTCTTGCATCAGTGGTCGATGTCACTGTGTTTAGGTACAAGAACACACATGCACACTAGCTATCCACATCACCCTCACTATGCCAAATGTTTTCTCACCACTAGCTGTATCATTTAGTTTGTTTTATTTGCCCATATTTTGAGATAGTCTTCCTCTCTGACATGCATGTTGACAACCCAAAACAAGAAGAAGTTTGTTTGCATTTCTCATTGACTGTATGTAAAGATGGACGACCTGACAACAGACAGATGTGAGGCCACCTCGAGTTGATTGTCCCCTGGTAGCTACAAACCTCAATTCTAATGATTTAGGACATTATGTATAAAGTTAATAAAAGAATACAATGACTGGCAAATCATATTTGATTGTGCCAGTTTGCATCTGTGTATGTTGTGTTGGACGTGTGGGAGATACAATGCTTAGTGGGAAACAGACAGGGGTAGCGTGCAGCCGACAGGCTAATTAGTATAACAAAAAATAAACATGCTGTTGTGTATGAAAATGTTAAATTATGACCTGTAATATGAAGATAGATAAATAGGGCGGCGCGGTGGTTAGCGCTGTCGCCTCACAGCAAGAAGGTTCTGGGTTCGGGTCCCTTCTGTGAGGAGTCTGCATGATCTCCCCATGCTGGTGTGGGTTCTCTCCAGGTGCTGCAGCTTCAGTGCGGTGAGGTTGACAGCTGGTGAGGCACTGACTCCTTTACAGTCAGATTTACAAATATAAATGAACCATTAACAAACACTGCGTTATGTTTTATATCTCATATCAACATTCTTCACACAAACGTGACCCATATTTAATTTGAGGTTATAATTTATTCCAGTTGAGCTTATTTCTAACTAGAAATAATAAAAGTTTATGGTCTTACCTTTACTTGTACA